CGAGGACGCCGAGGGGCTTCTACCCGAGGCCTGGCGGAGGCCCCTGCCCACTGTGTGAGCCCTGCGCGCTGCACCCCGCTCGCCCAGAAGCTCCCGAGAGTGGAGCGGCCGCAGCAGGTTGGCCACCGTGTCCTCAGGACGGAAAGCGTGTGCGATCGTCCCGGGTGCGCAGCCCCAGGGTTCCGCACGACGGAGGTCGGGTGCAGCTCTGGCAGCTCGGGTGCGGGCGGGTGTGTCGGAGCGGGAGGAGCGACCCTGTGCCCAGGGGCGGCCTCTGCAGTCTCGTCCGTGCGCCTCAAGGCTTCGGAGCTGGCGGGAGCCGGGCGCTGGGGCCTTGTCGCGGGGGGATGGCAGGGCGAGGGGCTGGCGGTCGCCCGGTGGCCGGGTAGCTGCCTCTCGCCAGCCTTCCGGAGCCTTCCTGGTAACAGTGGAGTTAATTATTTCGTCTTTTAAACTGACCCCAGAGCTGCCTCCCAGAAGCTAGGAATGCCGACCCCCGGCGCAGCTTCCAGGAACCGTGTGTGGGGCGGAGACAGGCCGGCGCCTGCCGCCCACCCCCTGCCCTGCGGCTTCCTGCCGAGCCCGAGTGTCCGTCCTCCGTGGCAGGGACCCTCAGCCCTCCACTGGAGAAGGGGGGCTGCGGGGCGGCCGCTGCCGGCGCAGGCGGGGTGGGGGCCTTGCCGCCGCGCCCCTGGGCCCTGAACTCAGCACCCAGTTACTCAGGGGCGCTTCCCCGAGGGCTCGGGCTGTCTCACGCCTGCGGTGACATGCCACTGCGTCGCGGGCCTGCGGGCGGTTCTGCTTCCCTCATAACGGACCGTGACCTGTTCTCTCTTCCAGGGGCGCAGGAGGTTCTCATTGACCCAGGTACACGCTCTGTGTTCTCAGTCTCCCCTACCCTGTTCACTGCTTGCTTCCCGGTGGTGCGAATGAGTGGTCGAAATTTCTGGGCTGTGATTTTGGAACATTCTGATTTAAGCGAATTAAATCGGGATTAAGGCAGAGGGCGCAGGACATTTTTTTGTGG